CTCTATCCCGGAAAAAAAGAATGAGCTCGAACGGATGTCGCTGAACAAAGTTATAAATTTTTTTCTAAAAACCATTAAAAGTTGCGCTCAAATTTGGGCGGGGTACTCTATGGATAATACCCTTATCTAATATTGTCTTATTTCATATTCTATAATATGACACAGCAGGAAGAAGAAAGAAGACAATATCATGTGTACATCTCATTGGCTTATACTGCTATAAAATCATTTTATCTTCAGTCATAAAACACGGGATTCAAGAGGTTAACGTACATCTCCGGTAATTTCCAAGTAAATAATACATTGGAATCATCCAAATAATTCATTACAAGTATATGCTCTGTTTTTAACTTGTCTGTTGTTATTAGGGGTGTTATTTTGTCTTTGCTTTATAAATAAAGATAACGATCTACTTTATTTTTCTATGATAAAGATTAAGAATAATCTCTATTTGCATGAATTAAGTTAAAACATAGAATAAAGATACATTTTTTCTTGCCAAAAGTACATATGCAAACAGCCTGTATGACAATAGAATACGTTTATTAATGTTCTTTCTTATCATCATCATCACCATCATTTCCATATGCCATAATCATCAATAAAAAAGGATTACACAAGAAAGGATTGCACAAGAAACGATATATACGAAAAATGCTATCCCATATTATAGTTAACTGCATAATATCATAATTTTTTCTGAGCTACTCTAAGAAAATAAAAAAAAGTACATTTCAACAGAAAAAATCTTTATTCTTTATCTTATTTTTATTTTCGAAAATAAAGAAAAACGTTATCTTTATTTCCAACTAAAGATAAAAGTTTCATAGTTCTTTATCTTTATTTCAAAATAAATATAAAAGTTTCATAATTCTTTATCTTTATTTTAACAGTATATATAAAGATTTTCGTTACTTTATTCTTTATTGTATAGTAAAATAAAAATACAGTAACACCCCTAGTTATTGTGTATACGTGATACAAATCTAAAAGGATTTCTACAAAACATGGGTTCGTCTCAGTCTACTAACGAAACTGATGCAAAAAATGAAGATACCGTTATACACGAAATCTCTAACGTTATTGCCGTAGCCGCAGGCACTCATGTTGGTGCCACAATTGCTGGTCCTGGTGGTGCAGTAATTGGTGCGAAAGTTGGTGACTATGTTTTGACTCCTGTTGTTGAAACGGTGGCTAAGAGTAAACCTGCTTCTGCTTACGAAACATCTCATGGTACGATATTCACTGGTGCGGGTGGCTCGTTTATGTATGGTCCTAATGGTGAAGTTTTTGAATTGTAGACTGATTGATGATTAGGGAAAGTAAAAGTCGAAAGTGGTGGTTCCTCTTACATTCATAATTTTTCTTTGTTGATCGGCATCTGTATGTTTTTTCTAATCATGAAATAAATATGGAAAAGAACTACTTTTTTTAAAATTCAAAATCTTTTCCTCTTTTCTTAAAGGAAGAATCCACCACACAGAGACGTTTGTCGGCCTATGCAATCAATAAGAAAGAAGCATTCTTAAACACTTCAGAATAGTTGCAAAAACCCGATAATATAAATAAAGACATAAGGTCACATGTAATTGAGATTTATGGTCAATCTAAGCTCAAGATCCATTCTAATCGAAACTTTTTAATATATACATTTCATAACAAAAAAATTAATTTTAAACAAATAAAGAAATAGAAAGTATGTATTAGTTTTGTACTGTAGATTATTTTCTATCATGATATATAGACGAGTGAAACTATTGTTTTGCTCAGTCTTGTCTTTGTTTTCACCGTGACTTTTATTTTTTTAATAACTCTATTGTTCAATTTAATGAACATCGAAATAATTGTTTTTAAACATAGGAATATATGTTAGAAATGCGTTATCTGTATTCTCACATGTGATTTCCTCAGCGTAAGTCATATCGAACTTTGTTATAGTTGATTGGAGATGGATGAGTGTAAGTATGAATAAAGAATAGATACATCCACATATATTCTACTAAACATATTTGATAATTATTCTATAATAATGGTTATAAAAATGCACTGTTTGACTAATAAATGATTTTGTGTTACATATTTTGCTTGTAATAATTCATTGATTTTTGTTAATATAAATAATACTTTTATGAAATATAAATTGTTCCTTTAATCAAAAATAATTATTAATTCTCTACAATGTTGTTCAACAAGGGAATGTTTTACTTGTCTAATTAGTATATATTATTTTTAATGATCAATCCGATTTGTGAAATTTGAAAAAAATTAGTACTTTTAAAAACATCACTTTATTGCAATGAACTATATTGTCTTGTCAATAAATTTCACAAGTTACTCCAATATTTTCTGTTTATTTCAGATTTTTTTTCATTAATAGATGAAATTGTTTTACTTAAAACCTTATCAGTCAATAGAAATATCAGATAGAAAAACTGAAAAGTTAGTCAGAGAAAATGTTCTTAATTATACTAAAATCAAGCTTTTTAATATATTTTGTACGCCCTGACTTCTTAATCAACTCAACTTATTATTATAGACTTTCCTCTCTCTTATATCACAAACAGCAAATACTAAAAATCATAAAAAACTTCATATTATATGTACTCATGTAGATAAATGATTAAAAAAAAGAAAATAGATTCATCTTATATATGTAAAGATTGTAATGTATATTTGTATATGAATTAAAGTTAGTTCTCATAGCAAAAGTTTATTCTTTTCTTTAGAAAAAACAAACTTCATCATGAAAGAATAAATTCGTAAAAGAAAAAAAATATTTTTGTTTGTCAACGAAATATATATATGTATCTATATATATTTATATATTTATTTGATTAAAATGTGTTGAGGAGATAATTAATTAATCACTTCGAATGATTGCGGTCAATTTTATAAGAGATGGGAAATAAAGAAAAAGGTAATAATGAATCTGACACACACACGACTACAGACAAGGGAGAAAGAAAAACAAATATACACTGTTAAACAGGTTCTCGACAATCATCTGACACACACTGTTTTTTCAATTTCTTAGTGAGCACCAACGACTAGGACATTATTACAAATGACATTAACACAAGTAGAAGAAGAGAAAAAAAAATGTTTCTATCTGAATAAAAAAAACTAATTTGTATCTTTAAATATAAATAAATCGAATGATTCTTCTTCTTCGTCTTCTTTTTCTTCTTGTTCGATTTCTTCTTGTTCAACTAATATACAAGATAATGATGAATCTGATGATGAACATGATGAACTTTTTGTAGTTTTACCATTTTTTTCACTTGTTGATTTTAATGAGCAAGGAACAACACAAAATAATAATACAAGAATATCATCACGTTTTATACGAGCTAAAATTATTTGATTTTATTTTAAGAGATTTTTTTAAATCTAAATTTCATTTACCATGACATGCTGATTGAACAAGCATTTGGCAAATATTTTGCAATGATTCCACTGAGATTTGTTCATCCTTTTTTGTTTAAATTTTTCATTTGAATTTAATTATTTCAAATAAAACTTACTAAATGATTATTTATGATTTGAACAATAAAATCTTCATAAAGATTATCAAAAAGTCCATCTGATGCAATTAATAATAAATCACCTATTTCTAGATTTTGTTCAATATATTCTCCATCACTTGGTCTATATAAAAATAAATGAATAAAAAAAATCAAAGAAGAACATAAAACATACTTATCATGATAAA